AAGTAGAATGTCTCAAAACTACTATCACTTAACTAATTAAACTATACCTCTAAAGTAGAATGTCTCAAAACTACTATCACTTAACTAATTAAACTATACCACTAGAGTAGAATTTATCAAAACTATCACTTAACTAATTAAACTATACCTCTAAAGTAGAATGTCTCAAAACTACTATCACTTAACTAATTAAACTATACCGCTAGAGTAGAATGTATCAAAACTACCACTCATTTAACTAATTAAACTATACCTCTAGAGTAGAATGTCTCAAAACTATCACTTAACTAATTAAACTATACCTCTAGAGTAGAATGGTATAGTTTAATTAGTTAAGTGATAGTTTTGATAAATTCTACTCTAGTGGTATAGTTTAATTAGTTAAGTGATAGTAGTTTTGAGACACTAGAGTAGAATTTATCACTCTAGAGGTATAGTTTAATTAGTTAAGTGATTAGTAGTTTTAGAATGTATCAAAACTACTAATCACTTAACTAATTAAACCAATGAGGATAAATAATTTTGTTACTGCCATGAACAATAACTTCAGTTTATTACTGCCAAATTTTAAAAGACAGTTGCAAGCTTGAAATAGAAAAAAAAAAGCTTTTCCTCTTGTTTATAAATATATGCATCAAATAAGAAAATGTGGTTTTGAAAGGTAAGGAAAGATGGGTGGGAGCTTCTGTTATGGGTTGTAAAAATGTATTGTTGTTTCAGCAAATGGAGAAGTTAGGGGATTGAAACTGTGCATTTAAACTTGTAATTATTTAACATCTTGTGTTATAATTAGTTAGACATTGTAGATTTATACTAGTGAAGTTATAAAAACTATAAAGGAAAATTGAGAGTGCATATCTGTCACGTGGTAACAGAAGTGGAGATTGAGAATTTTTGTGAATATTTATTTTTAGAATTATGAACTAAGAACTTAAGTATTATAGAAAATGGAATTATAAACTGAGATCTGATGCTAAGTTTATTAACATACATTGATAATAAAGTCATTTAATTAAATTTTGAATGTGAGTCTAAAACATTGTGACATGCTCACTTGTTAAATTGATTGCAGTGATATGGAGCCTGTATGAAATTGGTTAATATGAAACATTGTGCTAAGAATTTTAATTTTTTTTAATGGAAACAGAGACACATGAAGTGTTTATGCTCCAGCCTTTTACCAGCCGAGACTTTTCTATCCGTACGCTTGCGGACCGCATCAATGACTTGAAGCATCTCTTATACCTGTATCCAGATAGGGCAAAGGATCAAGCCTTTGGAAAGTATTACACTCCATTCACAGGTTTGTGTCCTTAAAATAGATAAAAAAATATATACACAAAGTTATTGTATCAGAGGATAATTCCTCCATTTAGCTGCTTTCCCTTCCTTTCGTTTCACACCTTTATCCTCTTCCTGATCCAGACAGACTTCTATGTCCTGTACGTGCTCTTCTTTGTTATATATTGCCTGCACAGCTTCCTTCTATGGTGTCCATTCCTGCCTCTTTCTCCTTTGGCAACCATCCTCTGTAAGTGTTTTTACTCCTTTGCCAATTTGGTTTAGGTCTTCACCTGATTGGCTTCATCCTCTTTATCGTCTTCCTCCCATACTTTGTTCCAAGTGTCTTCTCACCCAGTTTGACATCTTACCTTGTTTAGCATTATTCTTGCAATCCTTCTTCCACCGCAGCAGCCACGGAGAGGTGATAGTAAAAGTAAGAAGTTGGCCAATTTTTTGTTAAATATTACATCACTGTGAATAAAGATCTGTTTTATATGTTCATTGTTTTCTCTTTCTAGTCTGTACTCAATTTATTTTTTATATGAAATTACTCGAACCTGCATGTTTGGAAACTTTTTTGCATAATTTTATCATGGTTTTATCTTCATTTAACTTTTTCTCTAATAATTAATTGTGAATTGATATTGGTGAAACATTTGGTAGTTATTTCTTTTTATTATGACTTGGCTTTTAATTTTTCAGTAGGTTTTTGTTCCCTTTCTTAATAGCTTTAAGCACCAAAAATTGGCATGTTTAGTTTGTCAGGCATATCTTTTTATTATGCAGCTTGTATCTTGTGCATGAGAAGCAGTTTAAGTGCTGCATCATTATTCTCTAACTTACTATTGATTGAGTATAAATACCATCAAAGAATTAGATACTTTATCGGTCCTGGTCACATGGGGAACAAAAAACGTTTTAGATCATCTAAAGACATTAGATGTGATTGTAAAATGTTACTTCTGTATGGATAGTAAATTTCAAGTAATGCAAGTTTGACTTCTGTTAATCATGCTGATCAGGATCGATCAAATGCTTGTTTTACATTTCATATGGTTTTCTGAATACACTGATACTTGAGTTTTTAGTAGATCAAGAAATTAATTATTCATAAGATTTTGTAAAATTAGGGGGAGATAGGAGATAAGGTTGATTTTTTTTTAATGGGTAAGACTGATTAATTTATTTCTAATCAATACAAGCTTTTTATATACTTTACTTAACATGAAACAGAGTTAAGATAGAAATAGATAAGAAAAATGTCTTCATAAAGTCAGCTTCAGTTTACTAAATCCTCCAAGTCAGAATGATTAATTTGTTTCAGCTCTGAACGTGGTTTATCTTGTCCTCCTACTTTCCTACATTTAACAATGATATAAATACAGTTTCGTCTTGTTGTAAAGACTTATTATACAGTTGTAAGTTTTGTCACAAAGTATCAGTCTAATGATGAAATTTGTTTTTCAGAACATTTTTTTTGTGCCATATTTCTGATTTCCAAAAAATGTAGTTAAATGTATTCAGGTATATCAGGAATGTAGTATATTCTGGAAATATTGTAATATATTTTGGAAATATTTTAATATATTCTGGAAATATTGTAATATATTTTAGTATATTTTGGAAATATTTTAGTATATTTTGGAAATATTGTAATATATTCTGGAAATATTTTAGTATATTCTGGAAATATTGCAATATATTTTGGAAATATTTTAGTATATTCTGGAAATATTTTAGTATATTCTGGAGAACTAAGAGTGAAATTTGATTTATGATTTTATATTCAAAGATCATCACTAGTGTAATAGCTTCCTGCTTTCTAAACACACAGAGTCTGATTTAAAGGAGACAAAGAAAGTGTGCCACACCTGTAAAGGGTTGAAGTATTATATTGGCCAAAAAAATTAATGACTTTAAGAAAAACCAAGTTCTTTAAGAAAGTAATGTATTCAAGAGAAACGGTATTTCTTCAAAAACATTTTGGAAGTTATTCGCAATCATAGAATAGGGTTTTATCTGTTTTTATCTTGACCTCAACATAAAGCTGTGTAAAATACTATGATTTTGAATTTTGTTTGCAGATATTCATGGTTATATGTCTAAGTTCTTTAGTGTATGAGCAATGGTTGTAAATACGCACTTATGACAACAGTATGGGGTACATGTTGGCCCTATGATAGAGCTCTGGATTTCGGAGCTGGCGAGACAAATTTGAATCCATGCAATACAAAATATATCCCATGCTCAAAATCATGGATGCATTGAAAGAGTGACAGTCAATCCCTTAGCACGGTTAGTAGGTGGTAGTTTGCCACTGACTGGCTGTCTTCCGTTTGGTCAATAGTTCAAAATTAGAGATGGTGGCAAATAGTCTTTTTTTCTCCATGTAAATTTCTTTACACCTTAAAGTTTTAGTGAATATTTTCATCTCAGTATTTAATCTATATATTTTCCTTTTGTGTAGAAAACCAACCCCCTTCCAGTAATGGATATGTTAAGCCAGTTCTAGTGACACACATACCAGGGTAGGTGTATATTTCCAAACCAGTCTTACTGTAAACAGTAAATAAAAAAATAAATGTGTTTTGTATTACTAAAATACTGTAATTAATTTTTATGATCAGCTGTGTTGCACAATAAAATCTAGTTTTTACTTTTTTACATTATTAATACAAATTTTTGCATTTAATCTTCATTAATCCAAAAGTTAACATATTAACGTGTTACAACATTTGTTCCAAAATAATACAGGTTTTCAGGAGCAAAAGAGTTTTTATATTGAATTATTAAACACATGACTTTTGTAAATCAGAAATTATCATTGTTTTGGTAAGAGCCTTCTCCTTCATTTAATGTTAATAGCCACAAGTATTTAATTTGTTTGTTTGTCATTCAGATGTTAAAGTGAGAGTACTCTTATGAGTGCTTCTTTAGAAATATTGCTACATGTATAGCATTTTTTTGTATATGACTGTTTCTTTTGCAATAAGGAATGCTTGTTCTGATTTCTTTGGACATGAAAAAATGCCATTCTCAACTCCAAATGCCGTGTTTTGTTATAATATTTTAAGTGTGCCACCTTATAACATGGTTTCGGGTGTGTGCAGTACTTTGGAAAATGTCAAAAACGTAGCAAGAGGTAATTTACTTCTAAGTCTTGTATTGTACATTTAATTTAAAATTGTTTCATTTCTTAAAGTGGGTTTTGTTAGTAAGAAAAAACATTGATGACTACATGAAAAGAACTGAAGTGATTACACAGTTTATATTGTTTTCCTCCTTTCACAGTTTAACAGGGATGGTTAGCGGACTTGACAGTTTTCCTGGAACACCCCAGTCCTATTTTCCACCCCATTCTCCTGACACTGGTGGTTACATTGATCCCTCTTCCATGCCAGGCAGTGGTGACCAACCCATGCAGTAAGTGTTGTCAGACCACCAGATCTCTAAAAAAAACGTTTTGCGGCACTAGTCACGGCAACGTATGGAAAGTTCAGTACTGTTCCTTTCTGGTGGTCAACTTCTCTTGTTGTTAGTGAAGATAGGGTAAATGTTATCCATCAGTTAAATGTTGGAAGAGATACATTTTACTTCTTTGTGTTGTCTTTATCTGATAGCATTGTGCAGTTGTATAAATACATAAGTACACGTGCGTACATATATGTGAGTGTGCGTATATAATCTCACACACACAGAAACACACCTTAAGTGACCTATATAATTTTGGTTAAAACCGTGAGTAAACAGAGAATTTTGAATACATTAAATGTTTCTGAGAAATCATTGTTGTAATATTGACAAAGAAACAATTTATAGAAAATATGTTTGATACTGTTGTGTTTTTATAATATTTTAATACGTACTAGAATTTCCCAGGAATTTCATACTTTTGGTTAGAAATACCATGTGTTTGTGTGTGTGTGTGTAAAGCTATGGTTGTAGACTTCTGTAGTGTTGTAAGTATTGTGATTTGTCAGTGTTTTAGTTACAGAAACTTTAACATTTGCCCAAAATGGAATACATAGTATCTCTGTGATATTTTTTGAAAAAATAGGCTATTAGCAACTTTTACTATTCAATTACTTGTCGTTTTAATTTTATCTTTTTTTTTCTTGCTACTCTGTCCTGATTCATCGGCTATAAAATTTAATACTGAAGTCATTAAACAGAAGATTAAAGTTTAGACATCAATCTTAAGTAATTGTTATTGGAACATGTAGTTACAAAAGTCTATTCAGTATACACATATACGAAAAAAGGTTTGATTGACTTAGGTAGCAATAGAAGTTATACAAGCTCTAATTCCCAAAAAATAGAAACAGAAGAAGGTAACATTTAAAGACAGCTTTCCAGACATCATAAATACATTTGAGTTTTGACGTATAGATATGCAAGTTAAACTGTTTTGCTTGCTTGAACATCATAGAGGATGTTTTGGTAGTATTTGGCAAAATGTGCAAAGTATTGTGTAATATTTTATCTAATTCGGTCTCATATTTTATTTATATTACTATGCTTGTAATGATGTAATAATTATTTAAAGTACCCCCTCCTGCACTACACATTTTTTAGCCATATAATTGCAAAAAATAAAACATTTTACAATATCAATGAAATTGAAGAAAAATTAAGGATTACATGTTATAGAATAAAATTACCCAAAATCGTTCATGTAAGCAATAGTTCTAATAAATAACTTAAAGAATTGTCCACCCTGTAGTTTATGAGGTGTTCAGTATTTTCTCTGAATGTGAATTGTTGAACTGTCTATCTCCTTGCTCTGTGAATACAACCTGTGAGATGATGCTATTTTTGAGTCTTAAAATGTTAGTATGCATATATAAATAGATATATAACCTTCAAACTTAGGATATGTTTATGCCCACTATGTTTGAGAATTAGGTTTTGAAAATAAGCAAAACTATTAAACCTGTTCTAATGACTCATTTTAGAAGATTTAACTATGAGATAATGTTTCACTAGTTTGTACATTCAAACATATTAACCAAGGAGGAAAATTGATACTTGATCCACTTTTGGCATAACAGATGATGAACTGATATGTTTTATTTTTTTAAAACTTCCTTTTTAAACATTAATCTAGGTTACTGGTCAAATTAGTATCTTTTTATTTTAGTAGGGTTTTTTCTTTTTTAAAACCCTTTTGTTATGTTTTTTTAAAACATTAATCTAGGTCAGAGGTAAAATTAGTATATTTTTTATTTTGACATTATTTTGTCTCTTTCCCCCATTTTTTTTGAAAATAAGTATTACACACAAGACATTTGGCACTGTTGACAAAATCACTGTTTCCTGTTATTTGAGTTTTAGTAGATTGCATTTTTAGTTATTAACTTATCAAAAATCATATTTTAGTAATTATTATAACAGGACACTATATTGTTTTTTGTCCCTAAGAATTATTATATAATTTTGGAGAAAAAAAAACACTTAGAATATTGGTTTTTCTGTCAGATATGTTTTTTAAATGTTTTATAAAAACACTGAAATTTCTCATCAGTCAAAGGAGATCAAATTTCTTTTGTTTTAATTTTGTGTAAATATTTAAAAAAATTTTAAGGTTTCTAGATGTCAAATTGGTGTCATGATACAGATGTTTTATTTTAAAGCAGTTTATAGAGTGTGTAAAATGATAACATAGTCAGAGTGAGCCTTATAAATAGCACATCCATTTTTAAGGACACAAAACTTATTTTGTGATATCATGTACAGATTGTACACTTTGCTCATCAGTTTGTCACTTTGCTCATCAATTTGTCCTGTAAAAAAAAAGTCACAACTAAATATAAAAGTGAAACACATGTTTATTGTGTATTTGTGACTGATGAATAAAGAAAGAAGTGCTAACCAGAAAAGCTTTCTGATTATCTTTAATATTTTGTGTTTGCCAAGCTTGAACTTTAAGTTTTGTGCAGCATGAGTAGGTTTGAGTTATTAGTCAAAAGTTCAATGTATTGAATCAGCAGTACAATGTCAATGTGTTTTACAATCATATCTTGTCTTTCTTTTTTTTATGTAAACGAAGAGGTTGAAATTGTATGCATGGGCATGACACTTTATTTTTACTAGAGTATTTGCTGCATACTCTACTGTGATATGTGCTTAATAGAACTAGGTGCTGAAATGCTTCTTGATTCATTCTAAAAGTAAATAAGAGAGAAATACAATGTATTATAACAGTTGTTTGCATCTGTATGTAGTAAGAAAAATAAAGAGCAACCAAATATATTCTCATTCAAAGGCTGTTTGACTAAATGTGCTTTGCACCTGATATATTTTAGCTATATATATATATATATATATGCACTTAAAAATGTGTGTGGTAAAAAGTTGTTTGTTGTATTGATGGTAGTGTCTATTGACAGAAGATTATGCTTGTCACAGGTCACGTAGTACTAGGATACTATCATGGATCATTTCAAAGTCATATTTCTATATATGTACAACTCAGAGTCTTTCAGAAAATGGTATGTTCTTCTTCAGGAGCAAAAGATCTAATGAACATCAGGAGTGCTTGATGGAATTGATCAGTTCAAAAATGTTACGTGTTAGTCAAAATGATGGAGAAACTGACCAAGCAAGCAATATGAGGGAGTGCTAATGAACAGATAGTGACGATCAGGAATTTGAGTTGATGGCGGGGAGAGGGGGGAGTAGAACATTAAGTTGTGTGTAAACATGATGTAGGTTTAAAAAAACATAGAAGAAATTGAAAAAAGTATATAAATCCAAATAGTATAGTAATAGCAAAAACAGGAAAATAGAATAATAAAGTGAACAGTCAGAAAAATATTCTAGTTTACAGAAGCTAATATATTATAAGATTAGCATGAAATTTGTTTAAGTAATAGTACTGTGATAGAACAGGAAAAGTTGTCACTTAGCGACTTCCAACTTAACTCAATCATAAGGTTTAAACAAGTTACAGATGTTTTGAAAACCACCAATAAAGCTACAGAAAAGTTGTTAAGCATTACCACAGAAATTTCAAATTTCCTTCAGCTGACTGTTATATGTATATATATTTGGGGAGGGGGGGATGTATTAACTATATTGTTTTGAGGACCGTTTATTGTACTGTCTAAATATCTTTGCTCTAAGTTACTTGGACTTGTGGTCTGTTTGTACAATTTTTTGGATATGCAATGACTTGCCACTGTTTTTCTCATTGTTAAAGTTCTACTCTTGTCAAACCTCGTAAGGCTTTTTGAATCTTGCTTTTAAGTTTTTTCATCCTTTATTGATAATTCATAATTTGGAAGTCATGTTGATGTTTGGTTTTCCAGGTTTGTTTTTGTCTGCCAATGAGAATGAAAAATTACAGTTCTGATGTTATCAGTAGATCTTTCATATGTCATACATTTTTAAATTTGAGAATTTCACCTTACGTTAGGGATCGTAAGTGCATTACCCTAAGTACTGTTCCACTAGCATGTGTCTTAGAAGTGAATAAAGTTTAGAAAAAGCTACTGTGCATTTTTGTAAAACGAGAGAGAGTACATGTTACGAAAGCTGGCAGTGAGGTTCCTGCCATCCTTCAGGGTTCCTATCTGAAGAGCTTTTTCATTTCTTGATTTCATGTCAGAATCAGTGCCGTTTTATACAGTGTCTAAAGAGTGACCAGGAGTGCTTAAGTGTTCAGTGACTGGAAAATGCTGTGTTGGTGGATGATCTAAATTTTGTTTGTCCCAAACACTAGAACTTGTATCTTTGATGTTGGATGTTGTATTTTTTTTTGTTTCATAAGTAATGTATTTAATGATTTTTAAAGTATTTTTCTTGAGTTTGTTTTTATTGTAAAAGTGGTAAAAAGGACTTTGTAAGTTTGGATGTTTGATGACATTGTTTGCAGGGACTGTTTTCTTCAGCTCAAGACATATGATTGGTCTCTGTGGGAACCTAGAAATAACTTAAATGTTTATTTTCCAAAAGGATATAATAATAAGATCAGTCTTTAAGTGATTTTTTTTTAGGATAAAGGAAAGATACATGAAGTCATTTGTCTTGGTGGGTCAGAGGTAAATTTATCGACCTGCAATGCCAAAATCTGGGGTTTGATTTCCTGTAGTGCACGTAGTCAATTATGTACTTTTGTGCTAAATCAGCATCTTGAAGTCGAATGACTATGAAAAAATGTTTACAGTGAGACTTGTAGTGAAATTATAACAGTTTTTTTAAATTAGCTACTGATAATTTTTTGTGTTTGTAATCCTTTTTTTTTTCTTTTGGTCATAATTTTTCTTGGTGGATCAATTATCATCTTTTGCTCCTGATGAAGAAAACACTATTCTATTTTTTGGGTCATATTTTTTACCTTTTTAGCTATCACATACTTACAGTTAACTCTTTAAATTAAACTTGCTTTAACACATAGTATTGATGTTTCAAATGGGATTTGTTGTTGAAATGCTTTCAAGTGAATTAATTTTAGGTGATTTTTCTGCTAAAATTTTTTTTTCACTTTTAAATTTTTAATCATTGTTGTTATTTGAAAAGTTTTGCTAAACAGTTTCATTCTTTCTGCTGTAAAAAGTTGTTTTTTTAATCAAAAACTTGTGTATAGGACAATCAGAAAAACCATAATTCCAAAATAAAAGCTTTTATTCATTTTCTGTGGGTCATATTTTTGGTGACACGTTTCTGTTTCTTGCAGAGTAGTTCATAATGAGCAAGTTGGAGTGCTTAACTTGTAGCATTGGTCATAAAAGAAACGTGAATAGAGGTGTAGGTCAAGAGAGCTAACATTGATCGTTTCTGTTTTTGACAGTGCCGGTGCAGCAGTGTCTGATATGGACTACGATTTGCTAGGCATGGACCTGATGTCGGGAGACATGGATGTGCCGGTAGATTTCTCAACCATCAATGTTAGTGACCTCGTGGCTTACACCAAATCTGAATAAAAGTCTTACTTGAAACCTTGGAGAGATGCAGTGGTTCCTGAAGAATGGAAATATGCTTACTCGTCAAGGAAGTTCCACGATTCTAACTTGCTCATGTGAACATGTTAAGTGCTTGTGAAGCTATATAAATCTTTACTTTTCTTTGAAATGCACCTGCTAGAAATTTTGAATTGCAGTACAAAATACGCTTAATATAAATTTGTGACAAAATGACACCAATTAATACAGTGAAATTATAAAAAAACTAGATTATCTTGTCAGTAATTACATTAAAACATCTATATGAGAATGAAAGAAGAAATCTGTTAAGTTTAAAATAAATATCACCAGAATGATAGCTTAAGTATTTGTGTATTAGAACAACGGTAGCTTTCGAGCTATCATGGGAGATGAGTTGTTCTTTAAATTTCTGCACAGATGTGTAGATTTTCTCATTGTTGAGCTTTATTATTAGGTTTTCTGTAAAATAGTCGTACAGGATATTTGTAATATATCCATATCAGAAGTTATAAGATATACATAACTTCTACCAAGAAAAGTGCGAAGTTATTTGAATTGTTTACATCAGTCTTGGTTAGTTCACCATCTTTGTTGACTAGCTGCTCAACTTGGCAGTAATTGGTTCGAGCTTTGTTGTGGTTCTATGAAAATGTTATTAACTATTATCATTGCTTTTATTCGAAAACATTATTCACATTTTCATGGTGTGCTTTTTTTTTTTATGAATACTTTTACTGTTATGTCAGTTGTTATTACATTCGATCTTGTTTTATGTACAGGTATGTATCATGTAAAATACAAAAATGGAAAGTTGTTCAGTTGAAATTAGTCACTTTTTCGATACTTAGAAATTTGTCAAACAAATGTACTTTCACAAATTCATTGTTGTATATTTGACATATGTAAGGCCATTATCTTTTATTTGTTTTTTTAAAGGGAATCTTGGATAAACATTTGGATAGGTAGGGAGAATAAGAATATAAATGTACAATAACATGAATGATCATAGAAAGAAAAATAAAGTACGAGGGTTTTCCAAACTAGTATTTAAAGATGTTTATATGCTGTTCAAACTCGGGCATTTTGTTTAGTAATCCTTTAGTGAACAGGTATTTTGAGTAATCAGGAAAATATAAAGAATATCTGTTTGTATGATCTTGTTTTTCAAGTAAAACAGAAATACTGCTATTAAATTTTTAAAAACATTTTCAAGATAAAATACCTTCGTAAAAGAAAAACTCCTGCTCTCTGTCATGAAGCATGTTAAAAATTGACCCCACCCCAATTACTATTGCTGTTACTCCCAGGGCTAGGATTAACATTTACTTCTATTTAATACTGACTTTCATTTTATTTACTGATGATTAATACCATTGCTAATCTTTTAAATTGTTTTTGTTTTATGTATTTTGAATCACCCAAAAAAAACATGATACACTGAAATGAAAATATTCCATTGCACCTTTTTTTTTAAAGTACTGGAGTGATGACTTGTGTGTAGCCTTAGTGGTTAGCATCCTGGACTGTGGATTCCAGTGTCCAAGGTTTGCATTTGATTGCCACGAAAACACTCCACGCTTTAGTGTAATAGTTGTGTTATAAGAGTGACAGTCAAATCCCACTATTCAATTAAAGTAGCGGCGGGGGCTGTTGGCTAGCTAGCTGCCTTTATTCTATAGTGTTCACAGTTAGCGGTTGTTAGCCAAGATAGCCCTTGTGTAGTTTCACGTGAATTATTTTTTTTGTTCATTAATATTTTGTCGATATTGATGGCAGTAATAAGAATTAATATTTCATTGACTACTAAATTAATCATTATTTTAATATTGTAATGATGCTAAATAATGTTTATTTGTTAGGATATTTAATATTCCGGATATTAATTTATAAATTGAGGCTGTTAAAAGAGTTCTTTTCAGATTCGCGTATCGTGCGCCACGAACTCGGAATTTTACTTTAAAATCGATTGTTGAATATTTTATCATTATAAATATTTGTTTAACTAATTGAATATTTGGGTTGGTGGATTAAAAAAAACGAGAGAACATTTGCTTTATTGAAACAATTATTTGGGGAACCTATAAATCACGTAATAAAAAATAATGGCCTGATATGCACATGGTGCTGTTACAATTTATTTTGTTTGTGTTACAAATAAAGCTAAAATGTAATGAACATACTTGTTTTAATGGATTAACTCAGTGATAGAATACTGTAATCTGCTACATATCTTTAATCTTTCTTGTACAGATAAGTTGTAGGTGCTCAGTGATATATTTGTTTTCTTTTTATATTCTTGTTGTTTCATGTCAAGTTGACTCTAGACTTCAAGTATTTTTAGGCCCATTTACTGGCTCATAGGGGTGAAATAAAAGTGTTGAAAAACTGAAAACTATTAACACCTTTTTGATAAACACTCCTCATAAGTATACGTTATGAATAAAACATTACATGCTGAAAAACTGAAAACTATTAACACCTTTTTGATAAACACTCCTCATAAGTATAAGTTATGAATAAAACATTGCATGCTGAAAACTATTAACACCTTTTTGATAAACACTCCTCACAAGTATACGTTATGAATAAAACATTACATGCTGAAAAACTGAAAACTATTAACACCTTTTTGATAAACACTCATTCACAAGTATAAATGATAAATAAAACATTACATACATGACAAATTTTTAACTTACCTAAGTGGAAGTTTTCAATTGGTTAGTGAATAAAAAACAACAAAAAACGGCCTCTAAGTAGTTCTAGTTGTACACACGTTTGTAACCTTTCATTCCACAAGAAAGGCCTGCTAGTGGTTCAGCGGTAAGTCTAAGGGCTTACTACGTTCAAAATCGGATTTCGGTACCCGCTGTGAACGCTATACAGGTAGCCCATGGTGTGGCTTGCGCTTAACAACAAACAAACAAATCCATAGGAATGTTTGAGGTCAGTCACCCAAGTCGTGAAGTATATAATGTATTAAATTTAATTTGTTTGTTTTGAATTTCGCGCAAAGCTACAAGAGGGCTATCTGCGCTAGCCGTCCTTAATTTAGTAGTGTAAGACTAGAGGGAAGGCAGCTAGTCATAACCACCCACCGCCAACTCTTGGGCTACCCTTTTATCAACGAAAAGTGGGATTGGCCGTCACATTATAACGCGCCCACGGCTGAAAGGGCGAGCATGTTTGGTGGGAGAGGGATTCGAACCCGCGACCCGCAGATTGCGAGTCGAGCGCCTTAACCACCTGGCCATACTAAATTTAGCAGAAAAGCGTGTGAATGCGTGTAAGAACAAGTTAGAAAACAAAACCAATACCCTGACAAACCGAGAACTGAAGTTTCGAGCAGTGTGGATTCTATCGGCCCTCCTAGGTGGTTCACCCTCACCCATGGCTTGATGCAGTCTTTAGATAAGGTCTCTCTGTGGGACAGCAATAAGTTTGCGGATTTACAACGCTACGATATGTGGTTAGATTCCCCGCAGTGGACACAGCGGATAGCCCAATGTGGCTTTGCTATATATAAAAACAAATCATTGTAAAAGTCTGAGGCTACTTCCCCTTCCATCAAAATTTGGTCCCAAGTTTCCTTTACATCTCAGTGATACGTAAAAACAAACTTTCACATTAGATGAAGTACCGCCCTCTGTTGACCTCGTATGTTTTCATATAATAACCGGCGCAGATAGCCTATTAGCTTTACGCTAACAACCATATCACAATTCTTCATAAGTTAGTTACTTGTGGATGATTTCTGCTTTTATTAAAAACCTGTTCTTTCTGCTTACGTGTTTAACTCTTTCCCTATAACGTCTATAGAAACTCTCCCGAGTGCCCCCCCCCCTTTTAAAAATAGATAGAGAACGAAAAGCACAAAGGCGTGTGTTTTAATATTTCATGAATTATTTGAAACTCGTAAACGCTAAAATGTGGTTTAGGAACTGGCGAACCAGGTTCGAATCTGTGTAATATCGCTGATGATTGGCTGCCTTTTCTCTGTTCAGTAGTTCAAAAGTTACGCAAATTAATCATATGATTTTATTTTTGTTGTTTCATGTCAAGTTGACTCTAAACTTCAAGTACTTTTAGGCCCATTTATAAATATTTACTGGCTCAAGGGGTGAAATAAAAGGTTACTATCACAATTTTTAGGCTAGAAGAAGTATACATGGTATGACAGATGTATGTGCGCATGGCAGTGAAAGAATTAACTGTTCATTAATATGTGACGTAAGAACAACTTTTTCCCTAAACATCGGGGAGGGAAGACAGTCTCCGGTTCGTGGGGAAGAGAGACATATTTGTGTAAATTTTGCTTAAGTGTAACGTATTTACTACCGTATTTGTTGCGTTCCATAAAAGGAATAAATCTTTCTATTAGTATATATTTTCTATATAAATTAGGAAAGTTAAATACTGATACCTGGTAGCAAGGTAAAAAAATATCCACCTGTGAGAAAACATATATCGCCTTTTCTTTTAAATCTTACTTTCCCAAGTAAGTGTTTTTTTAGTATTAAATATACACAAGGAATTATGCGTGTGCATAAAATCGAGGGCCGAGCGAGACCCAGTGGTTAGTGTACTGGACCGTGGTGCTGAGGTTCCGGACTTACAAAAACCTTTTATTTAACCGAGCGAGACCCAGTGGTTAGTGTACTGGACCGTGGTGCTGAGGTTCCGGACTTACAAAAACCTTTTATTTAACCGAGCGAGACCCAGTGGTTAGTGTACTGGACCGTGGTGCTGAGGTTCCGGACTTACAAAAACCTTTTATTTAACCGAGCGAGACCCAGTGGTTAGTGTACTGGACCGTGGTGCTGAGGTTCCGGACTTACAAAAACCTTTTATTTAACCGAGCGAGACCCAGTGGTTAGTGTACT